ATTTTATTACTATATGCAGTTTTGCTTCGCATAATTTTCAATATTTTTGAGTCCATTTCTATTGTACCTAACATGTATTTGTCTATGCCTTTGTTTGTTTTTTTAGTTGCATACTATATTGCAGAATCAGGGGAAAATTTTTTTTTCATTGATTCCATATTTGTATATATTTGCATTCTGATTGAGATGTAACAGGATATCTTTACATGTTCACATTAACATATAAGCCGTATATCAGCCCAGCCTAACATTCCTATACATTTTGGTATACATTTTTCCTAAAGAGTGCATTTGAGGCATATACTTTGCCCCATATTTGAATTTTGGTAGGCGTTTTTTATTTTTAATTCTTTTACATAATTCGTAAAAGGCTGGACTTCATGGCATCAGTCTGTTCTGATTTATATAGAAGCATAAGACTCGCAAGCTAATAAAATCTCCCTTCATTACCTCCTCATTTTCTTAGTATTGCAATGAAACTGACAACACTTCACAACTTCATGTCTTCTGGCCTGTGTTCACGGTGTTCAGCTGAGCTAGCCATTAGAGTTGTTTGAGGTTCAACTGTTTCTTGTCCCAAGGGATAAATTCTCATCTCTTGCACTGCATGTAAGACTTTAATTGTGCACATCCTATTAGAGCTAATGGAACTTATGCACCTAAAAGTCCTCTGTGTGAAATGAGTCTAATAAATCCAGGGTTACAACCTCATTAAAGACTGATGACTTGTTTCATGGGGAGAGGGCCTTCAGCCTCTATGATCTGGTAATTCATGATTCCATTTGTGCCTAAGCTAGAATTCTTCCCTAAAAAGTCTTTTTCCTCCTTTGCAATTCTTCCAAATGCAGTCAATCTTATCTCATCCTAGCTGGGCCAACTAATGTAAATGGATTCCATCTTCTAATTTCCCCTTTGAAATGACTGGGAAGCCATCAAATCATTCAGTACAACTGATGAACGAATATCATTCTCCTTCCCCCCCCCCCCAGTCTTAGTGCTATTAATTACCACCTTTGAAAATGTTCAGCATTTCACTACTTTGCAGAGATCTTGAAATAAAACTAGAAGTTGATGTTTTATTTGCAATAGTCCAAGTGATTAAATTCATCACTTGGACTATTGCATCCAGTTTTGGTTGCCACAATATAAAAAAAATGTCGAGTCTGCAAAAAGTACAGAGAAGAGCAACAAAGAAGAAGAGAGGGTTGGAGGCTAAAACATATAAGGAATGATTGCTGGAATAGAGTATGTCTAGTTTAATGAAGAGAAGGACGAGGGGGGACATGATAGCAGTGTTCCAATATCTCAGGGGTTGCCACAAAGAAGAGGAAGTCAAGCTATTCTCCAAATTGTCTGAAGGCAGGACAAGAAGCAATGGATGGAAACTAACCAAGAAGAGAAACAACCTAGAACTAAGGAGAAATTTCCTGACAGTTAGAACAATTATTCAGTGGAAAAACCTGCCTCAGAAGCTGTGAATGCTCCCAACACTGGAAGTTTTTAAAAAGAGACTGGACAATCATTTGTCTGAAATGGTACGGGTTTCCTATCTGAGCAGGGGGTTGGACTAGAAGACCTCCAAGTTCCCTTCCAACTCTATTATTATAATTGTTGTTGTTGTTGTTAACTTGGGGCAAAAATGAAGAATGAAAAATATAGGAAAAGCAATAGGCTCCTCTTGGTTCTTTCCTGAAAATGTCTACCTCCACAGCAACTACTTCCATTTTGAATATTGAGTCCATGAGATAGTGAGAAGTTGTTCAAAGCTGCTGCTGGAAGAAAAACAAGAAATGTGCAGAACATGGCAAGATAACCTCAGAGATGTTTTCTAATCCTCCATTTTCCATGAGGAATTATACATTTTCGAAAAAAAAGATGAAGATCAACATTTATGGCTACCTGGCATACTACCAGTCAAAATAGGAAGAAACCTTAGCAGAAGATACTGAGCAATAAAGTGAATTCTTTAGGGCTGGCCAAGCAATTACATAAGTTAAATGTGGAAAAATGATCCAGTAGGTTCTTTGTGCTAGTATTAAAGGCACATCATTGTGTCAAGAAAAAAAAAAGTTTAAAACATAATGGTTAACTAAAACAAAGTAAAAGAGTATTAGCTTGTAATTTGCCATCTAAAGGCAAATGTTTGAACTAAAAATGTATATTTTGACATTTCAACCCACTCCACTTCCAAGTTCCCTTATTAATGCACAAGCACTCAAACTTCATCTGATGTATTAGATCTTCAAATTAATGTTTCCCCCACTAAGTAAAATGCAGTTCTATTAACATTAGACTGAGGTGCTTAAGGTTTCCAACGGATGAGATTACTTTTCTAAAACATCTATAAAGCTGAGGAGAATGAATTTAATTGCCCAACTGCTGAAAACTGAGTTAGTACTTTGAGCTTTTGAAAGACTAGCATGCATCCCCTTCCATTCTCACCTGTATGTAGCCACATGGACTAGGCAACCCAGAGTTCTTGGTATTTGATAAACAATATAAATAGTGGCGTGATACATTTCAGGTGCTATGCACTTGTAGAAGAAAGTGTGTTGGCTACACAATCCCTAACAATACTGTGACTACCTATGGCAGGGGTGTCAAACTGCTGGCCCACGGTCTGGTTGCATCATACAGAGGCCGCACCCACCCCAGCTCCGGCAATGCAAAGTCTCAATATGTCACGACATGTCACGTGACAAGGTCGACATCTGTGACCTATGGGGACTTCATTAACACCTACGAGTCATTGCATAGTATGCCAACAATACACCCAAAGACCACGTGTATCTTAGCAATCTACCTGCTACACTAAATAAATCACAGTGAGGTGGATGGGAAGCTTATGAATATGTTATGGAGCTATAATAACTTTGAGAACCTCACGTTTAGCATGCATAATACCAAAATTCAGCTTGGGAGAAATTTAGCTATTACGGGAGCCCTTTATTCATTTCTACTGGTTAGAGAAGCAGATCTTGCTTATCTTATCTTTCCCCTACATTTAATGCAGACAGTATGGTTTCCTCAAAAATGTCTGAGATGTCTGGGAGCTCTTACGTATCTAGATTTCATCTGGGCACTTCCCAAATACATACATGGCTTCCACCCTAAGAATTCTCAGCAGTAGTTGAATTTTGCATATTGAAGTCCAAACTTCTGAAGGTCACTTTCTGGAGAAATTTGCATCAAATTATAAAGGTTTGGATGCCTCTTCCTTAGAAGTGCAGCAGTTGATATCACAGGTGGGGAAGGTAGTGACACTTTATTTCAACATTTAACTTTCCCTTTTGTGAATTTTGTCCGATTAATGGTAAATTGCACAGCACGACTGGGATTATGGAACACGTGGTTGTAACAAATTACTGAGTTCAAATGTGCTTTAATTTGTGCTATTTTTACACCTTTACTAAAGAGTAGTATACCTTCTCAGTATATATTGAAAATGAAAGCAAAATAATATTGTCCAATTTTCTTCTTATGTCTTTGCTTGCCTCTAATATGGCGTCTTAACAGTTGGACTACACATTTTCTTCATCTCCCAAGTTCTTGTCAGACTAGCTAATCCTACCTCTAGGTAGGCTTTCTTCCTCCTTTTCTTGCCCTTGACTGGGACATACACTATTGCAGCTTGAAGTCTGTCAAGTCCATATAAACACACAAAAAACCAGAGACGATTCATGCCATTTATTGATCTCAATTTGGGGCTGCGCAGTTCTTATCTTTCAATAGGGAAAATCATCTTCATTTGAGCTTATAATTTATTAGATGCATATTCTGCCTTCCAGGAGCTCAAAGAGGCCCATCCTAGATTTAAATTAAAGTCCCAGTGTCCCGGGACCGCATGATCACCTTTTGCGACCTTCTGGCAAGCAGTGGGGAAGGGGCGTTGACTTACCTGAACGCCTTTTCTCAGCACGGAGATGGATAATCCACGCAGTGGGTTGAGACTGATCTGATTGGCCAGGAATACAGTCTCAACCCACTGCGTGGATTATCCATCTCCAGTGCTGGAGAAGCCAGATTTATTTTAACAATCCTGTGACTAATTTAACAACTGGAGTGATTCACTTGACAACTGTGGCAAGAAAGGTCATAAAGTGGGGCAAAACTCACTTCACAACTGTCTTGCTTAGCAACCGAAATTTTGGGCTCAACTGTGATTATAAATTGAGGATTACCTGCAATGCAATTGCAAACACACGTTAATTCTTTCTCCCGATAGAACTGGCACTTTTGCTGAAGTGCACAAGCAAGTTAGATGCCTCTAAGTTTAGTCCATTCCTTTTTGCTAATTTGTCACCTAAATCATTTGAAAACATTTTTGCTCAAGTAGAGATTCTCAGATTTTCAATACCCCTTTGACATTTTTATCTTATTCATGTTTTTTAAAAATTAGTTTTAGGGGAGAGCTGGCAAAAGGGCTAAGCATGAATCTCCATTATTTATTCAAAACCTCCCATTTCAGAAGAAACTCAAACACAATCAGAAGTTCAGAATAATAACGCAATTGCAGAAACTGTAGACTGGAACTATTCGGTATCAAAGCGGTCACCTTCCACTTTTAGTGCTATAACACTAGCTCAAAGTGGCCCTTGTCATTCTTTGAATGTAATTTTAAAGTATACAGGAGATGGAAGACTCAGTTCTGCACTGTACTTCCTTGGTAGCACAATGGATTTGTCCCTGACCATTGCTATGGAAAATATGTGTTTACCCTGCCATTTTAGGAAAGACTTCCTATGAGCTTTAAAAGACAACTTGAGAAATGTGATTGAGCCTCAACAGAGTAATAATTCTTTGAAGAGGGTCTGCACTGTGTGTGTTTAAAAACAAAATTTCTATATGTAAAGAAGCCTCCCCCACCCCCACCCCATTTGAAATGGCAATTCAAGGTCTTATGAAGGAGTGATCTGTTCTATCAAACATTCATGTGCAAGTTAGCTTTTGAAAATAACAATCTAGAGATAGCTGTCTGGCAGTCAATAAGCACATGCTAAAAAGTTTTAAATCTTTTATTATGCTTTTTTTTCGTTAGAAGAGGGATAATTCTACTCAAAACACACAAGAGTCTAATTCACGGTTCATTTTACAATGAGGAATGAAAGTAAAAATGTGCTGCGATTCCAAGCGTCTGCACTCTTTCAGTGAGCAAGAAACAAAAGCACTTTATTTTCCTCTCTAATTGTTGTGTTCTTGAAGTGACTGAGCCAAGAAAAGCTTGCCCAGATTCTGGGCTGTGAATTCCTTGATGATCCGGCTGTAAGTGTTAATTTGACCTATGAAGAAATTTAAAAAAAAAAAAAGGTGGGGAGAGAAAAAATAAAATATTTTAATGAAAAACCGGATAAATATTTTAATATAAAATTTCCAATCTAAAAGGTAGTTTCTGACTCCATTTTCCTCACCTTGGTCACAGCTCATACAATACACCATTTAGTCATTTAGACAACAAATTAGAGCACCCCAAAATAATTAATTAAACTCCTTTTAATTTTAGGAACTTGCATATTGCTCCAGGCTTCTATGACTCAAACTAATTTTTAGAAGTTGTTCAGAAATCTACTTCTGAAAATTTATGACAGATAAATCCTATATAGAAAGAAAATAAGGAAAATAATTGGAAAAGTAGGACTAAAATAGGAATAGAAACAGTACTATGGTACTGAGTGTGTACACAAACACTCTCTCTCTCTCTCTCTCTCTCTCTCTCTCTCTCTCTCTCTCTCTCTCTTCTGCTCTACCTTTAACAATGCTGCTTTCCTCAGCCAGCTGACATTTTATAGGTCATGTTTTTGTTAGCTACCTCATGTTATTAGCAATTTTTCAAGTCAGCAGTCTGTGAAGGGTTTGTCTGAAGTGCTACACAAATCAAAAAACTGTCACCTTGCCCCTGCCCCCTCATTTTGCACATAGTTTACTCTTATAATTTATTTCATCTACTAATCAGGAAGAGCAAAAAGACAAAGCCAGATTATCAAAATTAAAATTGCTTAGCAGACCAATACATTTTCATTTCTACGATGTTCCACTTCAAAAAGTTTTTGAAACGCCTCTGAGACAAAACCAGTCACAATTCAGCTTTGATCCACAACTTAATTCTACATGAATTAAAAAAGTGAAGGCTTTTAGTTTTCTCCCAGACTGCTAAAAAGAAAAAAAATTGGCAGAGGGCTGTTGAAGTATTAATCAGTTGTCCTTTCTTCTATAACTGAAGTATAATACATTAGAGCAGAAAAGAATGGAGACATAATTGAAAAAAGTGAAAAAAGTTTAACTGGGGATTTCCCCTTCAAAAAGGACTTCATTGCTGGAGAATGGTCAGAATTCAAGCCATACCTATTTTTAGCTGGCCAAGGAGGCTAATATTTACATAGTTCAACATATTTTATAATATCCGATCCATCTAAAATGATTTAAAGGGCTGCATTTTCAGGGAAGGTTAAATTATATTTGAAATTTTGTAATCCATACATGATCTTTGGCTCTTGGATTAGCATGGCACAATGAACCAAAAACAGGAATACCAATATTTTAAAACCATGGTTTCAAGCATTTGCACTATTTCAGATCACAAAACATTTCTCTACTCCAGCCTTCTCCCAACATGGTGCCTTCCCAATACGTTAAACTATAATTCCCAGAATTCCCATGGGACTGAACAAGGGGGTAGGTTGGGAATCCTGGGAATCTGGTGGCTGTTAGATTGCACAAAAGCATTTCCAACACTTTCTTTCCACTGTACCTTAACTTCATAGTCTATATTCTTGTTTGCTTTTCTGCCTTGACCTCTGTCCTTTTTTCCATGATAGAAAAAAAAAAAAAGGCAGGAAATCTGAATTTGCCACTTATTGAAGATTTTGTAGTTCTGGGACACAGACTGAACATACAGGATGTAATCAATTCAGAGAAATAAAGATCTAGATCTCACATGTTGCTTAATCTGGATTCTTCAAGGAAGTTGCTTGCGTGTTGCTTGCATTGGGACATAAATGAAATAACAAAGATACACAATACATCCATCTTTAGGATCAACACTTAATACCCACCTGAATCCAAACAGCAAGATTTGCTGTTCAACGTTATGCCTGATTTACAGTACTTCCTTCAAATACCTGAAGATAAAATTCCTTAACATACCTGAAGATAAAGTTCAAAGCAGCAGCAAAACCTTAAAAGACCTGAAGGTAAAGTTCAAAGTGGAAGCGAAACCAGAACAAGACCATGCAGGAGGAGGCTTTCAGTTTACTTGTTTCCATATCACATTGAAAACAAGCAGCAGAGACATAAAAAGTGACAGATTTTCCCTCTGGAGCAGTGTTTCTCAACCTTGACAATTTTAAGGCATGTGGACTTCAACTCCCAGAATTCCACAGCCAGCATTGCTGGCTGTGGAATTCTGGGAGTTGAAGTCCACATGCCTTAAAATTGTCAAGGTTGAGAAACACTGCGTATCAGGAGCATTACCTGCAATCAAAAGGGAGTCCATCCTGGGAGGAGGCTGTGGCGGCTTGAAAAGTTTGTTCAAGTCTTCCTCGGGAAGAGCAGGCTCTCCCCTACTCTGACGCTGTAGGTTTTCTTGCTGACGTCTCTGCTGGTACTAAAGAGACACAAGAGTTCAGTGGATACTTTGATCCCAAGGCCATTCCTGGAAGTCATCTGAACGAAAGGTAGGAATGCATTATATATGTTAGGTTCATGGCTTTTCTCAAAGCCATTTACTATATTTTTCTGTGTATTAGATGCTATTTTTTCCCCGCAAACAACCCTGTTCAAAAATCAGGTGTGTCTTATACAAGTGCAGCATCATATACACGGAAAAATAATGGTAACCTCCGCAGCCCAGAGCATGCCTGTGTGGGTTGCCATGCTGCCTGGTGCAGGCGTCAAGCCCCTGTGGGCTTGCCACTAACGGGAGGAGGGAGGGGGCAAGATTGTCAGCCGGCTGAACTTCCGGATTTGCCGGCTCAGCGCGGAGAAACTCGCATGCCAGAGCATCTTATACAAGGGTGCATCTTATAGACGGAAAAATATGATATTACATTACTAACTTAATCTGTACATTGTTTAGAGCTTTTTAGAAGCTGTATACAAATTCTATCAATTTCCCCACTTTCCACTCGAGTCACGCTTTAAATAAGTGGTCTTCAATATAAGGATCCTGAAACAATCAACATAGAGTTAGAGTTAGTCCTCATGCAATTTACTCTATCTGGGGTAAATCTATTCTGCTGCTAATAAAACAGGTACTAAGTGGGAGATCATGTGACCAGGACTGGCCTTTCTATCTGGAAAGAGACAAAACCACGGTACTCAGTTTCACAACTTCAGTTTTTGTTTGCCTCTTAAAGTAAATTCCTATCCTTTGGAATACTTGAGTGTCTACTTACTATTTTATACATACTGAAAGTAATGCAATCAAGCCAGCAGCCCTGGCTGGATTGGCAGTTATGCTATGCAAACAGCTTACTCTCTTAAAATGCCTTTGCCTCCAATCTCGGAGAGAAAGCAATTTCTGTAAGCAATCTCTCCTTTGCCTGACCCTTCCTCTCCCCCTCTCCCCTGTAGAACAGAGGGATTGAAGAGAGATTTCAAGAGAGTAAGCTGTTTGCTTTTCTACACATCGAAAACAAGTCATCGTGTTTGCCTAACAGCAGGAAAAGGCTAGATAGAGGAGAGATTCCTACAGAAATCACTTGCTTTGTTTCATCCCAGCTATGCCCTCACATAGCAGAGAAACTGGAGAGAAAGATATTTCAAGAAAGTATTGTAAACTGTTTGTATAGTGTGCTTATAGTTCCCAGCTACAGGCTTCCACTGCTGTCATACTGCTTTTGATCTTTAGAAGAACAAACAGCTTAGTTTCTTGCTATCCCTTTCTCTCCAGTCTGTGCTCTGCAAGGGGGGAGGGAAATACAGAGGTCAGGGACAGGAAAATGCATATTGATAGTAATGGCGACAACATGATTGAGGGACACTGAGAAGGTTGTAAATGGACTGCGAAGTTATTTTTTTCACCACTGTTGTAACTTCAGACTGCCACTGAACAAACAGTCAATAATACCTGTAACCTCTTTATTTCTACAAGGGTCCTGAGTTCAACAAAGGCAATACTATATTTTATGTAGCACATCTGGATTTCAAAATGCAGAGTTATATTCCTTAGGAAGGAAAAAAATGCTTTAATCCACCGACCTCCTTTTAATACTGTGCAGTCTAAAGCCACTATTAAAAGCCATACTGTGACCCACAGATCTTTAATTGCTCATAGAAAAATGGATGGTTTCGGGCTTAACAGAGGAGAATGTGGGAAGATTCCAAACCTTAAACTGAATTTGTTCTTAAGAGAAATTGACATAGTTTGAAAGACTACTTTGAGGCAGAAAATTATAGTCTGTTTTCTAAAGTGGGCTTAGTATAATATGTGATGCAATCCCAATCACTTGGCATCACACCCTGCCTACTATAGCTCTCTCCTCCATCAAAATGTTGTCACTTTGAGTGTCTAATAGAAAACTGTCCACTCTAGCTCTTCATTAAGTTCCCCAAGATCTTCATATCTCAACAGCCATAGTGACTAAACAGCTGATTTGTACAACATGTGTAAGTAAATCAATCAAAGGCCTCATACTGTATTCACACGTTAATGCTGGGAGAGTAGGTGGGTTGGCTTAGCTCCCTTATGCAAACCTCACCCATTATCTTAGTTTATGACTTTATGGAGCTATGACTTTAGCAGAAGCTATGTTAAGTCAGTGACCAATTTCAGCTTTTGATGTACAAAGTCTGAAAGCGTACAAGGAGGAAAAAAAAAGAGCAGAGTAGGTAGGTTATAACATTAATTTAAAATGAATGCAGCTTCACTTTCAATAGAGTTTAAGCTTAGTAAAAGAGAGAAGGCAGTCTGTAAATATTCCCAACGTTCTCATTTTTAAGAGAGAGAGTTATGTATTATTATGAGGTACAGAGACAGGCAAAATAGCAGATTTTATTCTGTCTTCCCCTTTTCCCTTACTCAAATGGCAAACGTTTAAAGCTTCAGCAGTACAGGTTTCTTACACTTCTGGCCGGTGAATCAAGAAATGTCTGGGTGACATTTTGCTGCTTGATAGTAGAACACAAAAATGCATCCAGATTTATGAGTGAATAAGAGCATAAAGTTTTGTATGTCAGAGAGAATGAAAAGTAGAAAGAAATGGGAAGGTGGCAGGGAGAAGCTGAGAAAGAAAAGAGAACAAGAAGGGGGAAAGACATCCATAAAATTTATTTTTATGCTTCATATCAAAAACAGGTAAGTTTCTTCCCAAAATTGCTTGTGCTTGCATTCAACTGTAGAGCGAAATAAAATGAGCAGGGCCAGCAATGGTGCATGAAACCGAGCTACAGCAATTAGAAGTTGAGCAAGAACTACTAGGTAACCATCGTGGATATCCCTTCATCCCCTTCAAATCAGTTTTTCCACCTTTAATACTGTTTCATAAATTTGCCTATGCAGTTTTATACTGATAAATCAAGGAGCGCTGAGGAGCAATGCCCATGTTCTCCATGTAATAAACGCCAAGGACAGAAAGATCAGTTTTATAAACTGGCTTGTATATTTAGTAGATGTAATAAAGTTCCTGAAATCTGAATGTTACTATCAAAATCCCATCATGAACTGATTCACCCTCAAACGTTTTGAGAGGCGGCCCTTCCCAAAAATCTTACTTGGTGTTTTTGCTGTTGCTGCTTGCTGGTATTCCTTAGGTAGGTGTTGTATTTTACAATATCTTGACTCATTTCATCCACTCGGTCCATCAATAGTTGTAGGGTTTTGCTAAGGTGATTACTGAAACAGACAAGGAGACATTCTGATTAAGACATGTAACTATTCTGTGGAAAGACAACGATGTCTGCTGATCAAATTGAGCTGAATCTGCCTTATGAACTCACCATATGTCTCTCTTTTCTTAAAGTTCACTGAGCTGGTACCTATTGTCTATATATCTCTTGCTGTAACAAGTAGGAGTTGAGAATGAAAGAAAGTCTCATGTTATTAAAATGGTCCATCTCCATTCTAGCTAATACAGTACACCAATTATTGGGTACAGAAATCGGTACAAACATTAAATCATCACTACCTTATTAATGTTATGAAGACATGTCTCTAATATGACACATCCCAGACTGTTGTTCAAAGGCACTGTTCATACTAGACAATCTCTGTCCTGCCGAATCATCATTTCAGAGATACTTCCTTATGTTTAGTGGTTGAGGCACCAGGCTAGAAACTGGGAGACTGTGAGTTCTAGTTCCACATTAGGCATAAAAAATTGCTGGGTGACCTTAACCAGTCACTCTCAGCCCAATCCACTTCACTGAGGTGGTTATTGTTGTGGGAAAATAGGAGAAGGAAAGAATATTAGGTATATTCACAGCTTTGTATTATTATATAAAAATAACAAAGGTGGGATATAAATAAAAAGAATGGTAACAGGTGGGGGAAAAGCAGTGGAAACAGAAGAAACTTTCTGCCAGTTTCCACATTGAGTCCCCCTCCTCCCCCCCCATTTGAAAATAGTTATCTACCAGGGAAATGAAGAAACTAAATGAACAAAATATTTCAAAACCAAAAAACTTAATCCAAGATTCTATTTTGTTTCAGCATAATTATTTTATATTATTTCAGTTTGTGCTTCCACTAGGATTTGGAAGACTGAAAAAAAAATAAAACAAGCAGAAAATGATGCCTTAGATGTTGAAAATTTAAGAACCAGCCTGGAAAAAAAATGTTGATAAACTGAAGAACATTATTATTACATCTGTCCTGCTGAAATCAGTATGACCAGGAAATTCTTAACTTCATGTTGACTTTATTGTAGGTTTAGGTTGCTGAACTGGGTGGGAGCTGAAGACTTTTGGGCAGTGAAAATGAGAAAAATAGATAATAACCCTTGTCAAGTTCTCATTGTTTTTACATAGAAGTAATTTGAAGATGAGTCAATTTCCTGTTTAATCACTTGAGAATTTGTGACACTGCCTAAGAATGGATTTCCTAATAATAATTTTAATCTCATGAGAATGCGAACCTTCATAAAAGGGAAACTCCCATGTAGAATTCTCTACCCAAAATGTTTCCCATTTTTAACTGCTGTTTATTTCTTTAACAAAAGAGATAAGGTTATGGGTGGATTATGGTCAGCTGGAACAATAATGTATGAAACTGAATCCTGCATGAAGTTGGATTCACAATCCAATCAGCCCCAACTAACAATGGCCAAGCAGCAAAGATGCTATCCATGGACCCCTTCAATCCATTATTCAAGGCAAATATGCTCAACAATTAGTCCCGTTTTTAAAATAAAATGTCAAAAAGAACATTCTCTCTTGTGAAGCATTACTGGCCTTTCCAAAATCTTCTTAGAACAAAATACAATAAAAGAAAATAATAAAAGAATATGTTTGTAGCTAATAAAAGAAAATGTTTGTAGCTCAGGGTTGAAATGAGGAGTCCATGGTGCTTGTTCTCTGAGTTTTCTTGCAGATGTTTCTTCATCACTCAAAGTAGGTAACATCTAGTTTGGGTAATGAAACATCTGCAGGAAAACAACCAGACTCAAAGAGCACCAAGGACCCCATAATGGGAGTTTTTCCAGTTAGGGGGCTATGATTTGCAAAAAACCTTCTGAGACAGACTTCTCTGGTACCAACTCATTTATATTTGCAATTCCAGACAAATTGGAACTTAATTTTGCGGTGTGTTTTTAACATATCTGTTTCTTGTGTTAGTTATAGTTTCAATTGTTTATGCTATTTTTTAAAATATGAACTAATATATATGCAACTCAAGAGAACATGTGTTATTGGACAAAGTCAAAATACCAATAAATAGAAGATATATATTGGAGCAGTGTCCCAAATCATCAGGATGTAAATTAGATTAACAACTGATTTGGAATTGTAACTTATGCATGATTAAATCTATAAGTAATCTATAATCATGATTGTTGACTGATCATTTTAAGAGGTATATTTACGAATTTACAGATATGGCCATTACTGTTCTAGAGTGGAACTTAAGGCAACCAACATGTTTATAATATTGGGGTCTCTTGTGAGTGTCAACTACATAATACTCAAGTTCTTCTGTAAAACAGTTTTCCTCATACTAGTGACCTCTGTATCTATTGGACTCTCTCATAATTCACAGTTAGCACAGCCAATGGCAGGATATTTGAGCGATTATCTAATTGGAAGTCCATCATATATGGACACAAATAGTTGTAGAAAATTGCCAAAGGATATTCTTCAGATCTTGTTTCTAGGAATATAGAAAAAGGTAAGAAAACTATTCTCAATGAAAAGATCTCTTGCATGGAAACAGATTTGAAAGCCTGAGATCTTTAAAAAAAATGTATTTTAACCATTTTGTTAAAGAAGTGGAAGCAACCTCCATCAATCTGAAGGAAAATGAAAGTGTTGCAAAGGATAGAGAGGCACAATTAATATAAATAGAAAATAGAGAAACAGTGTAAGATGTAAGTTGAATCATTTTGTGCATAATTCTTTCCACATACAAAGGCCAACTTGAAAATCCTAATTGATATGTTACCCGTACCTTTTAAATCAAACTGAAGTCAAATCACCTTCTGCCACAATTTGCTACCCTTTGGAAGAGTTGGATGACAATTCTCTATCTGAGTTATATGAAACTGATGAAAAATGTAGTCTAAATGCCTCTCTTTTTGTAATAACCTGGTGAAATTTTTCAAGCATCTAGCTTACATTTTCTATCAATTTCATACTAATTCAAAATGATGAAATTTCTGAAATGGTTATCCTTTCTTTTTTACAATGATTTTGACTAAAGCCTAGAAACAGATACTGCATTTTGATTCCAAATCAGCACTTACTTGCTTGCGAGGCTGAGCAATTCGTGTCTATTTGCAATTCCTGACTTCTTTTGCAACTCCCAAAGAAGAACATTGATCAGGTAGGAGTTTCTGATGTTAATAGGGACTTCCTCAAACATGTTTTCAAATGCAATTCCTGCTTTTTTCAACCTGAAATGAAAAGTACATGTATATGTCTTACAGTTACACCAGAAACAAGCAAAATTCTCAGTTTCTCATTGCAGAGGCTACATTGCTTCATTCTTCCAATCATGAAGGACAAATTTTTGGGAAGACATGGAAGACAAAGAATCAGGAGAGAAAATGGTTTTATTCCAAGAACCTGTAACAAATTTAGGGGAAAACAGATCAAAATAAACAGACATACTGTAGGTTACAAGTCTGAAGAATCAAGAAGCAATTATATCAAGATTCAGGGAACTCTGGGGTGCCTTTTAAGCTTAACTAGGGTCTCTTACAGAAAAAAAATATTAATGGACAAGCAGCAAACCTGTCACTAAGTCATCCTAATAATATAAAGAAACATTGGTCTCTTTGGCATGGTGGAGGTGACAGTCCCTGTCAATGGACAACAGTAAATTAGACCGGACAATCAGTGGTTGATACAGTGGTTAAGACATTAGGCTAGAGACTAGAATCGTGGGTTCTAGTCCTGTTTTAGGTCAGTCCTTGGGCGAGTCATTCTCTTTCAGCCCTAGAAAGGAGACATTGGCAAACTACTTCCAAAAAACCTTGCCAAGAAAACTGTAGGGACTAGTCAAGGCAGGAATCAAAAATCGAACATAAGACATCCAAAAAACATATACTGATTATGCCCCATGCCTCAAAAACTCCACAACGGTGGTGCTGCCTTCATTTTTTAATTTCTTCTGCAAAGAACTCCACTGTTGCCAAATATACCATTGGTTTGCTTTTTGCAAAAAGCACATCGACCTATCACCACCATCTCCCACCTAAGCTTTTCAGAGCATAAATTCAAACTTGGCTTTTCTCCAGGCAAGTTTGCTATGCCAGTTACTTTTAAATAATTACTTATGCATTAGAAATTGTATTGGGAAAATACTACAACAATAACTTTTTGGAAGTCCTACATACTTCAAATCAGTATATAAAAAAAATAGAGGCATAATCCTGGCAATTATCCTTTAACAAAAGAATATTGGCTAGATTCATGCAACATTCTAGCTATTAAAGTATCCCATACTGGCTGGGTTCAGTGACATGGTAAACTATAAATTACTGTTTACAAACCATAATGACTGGTCATGCTAAATCAAAACCAGGCAACCATATTATGATATCATCTGTTCTGGGAATTAGATCAATACAGAATGGGATCTTGGATTTTCAATGTTGGTACATTGCACTGTGTACCATTGTGGTCCCTCATTGTTCTTTACCATGCTCTCATGTATAATTTAAAACTATAGGTGGGTTTTAAAGACTTTCAAATTACTCAATTATCAAGTCTGCTCTTTGTGGCCATGATCCAGTTAAAAAACATTGGCATTCAAGTTCTATGGACGAGTGGGAGTAGCAGAGTATTTAAGTTCCTTTTAGCCCTTTTGAAGAAAAAAACCTTTTGCACCACACACACACATATATATGTATATGAGTATGTGTACACACACACACACAGAGAGAGAGAGAGAGAGAGAGAGAGAGAGAGAGAGAGAGAGAGAGAGAGAGAGAGAGAGAGAGAGAGAGAGAGAGAGAGAGAGAGAGAGATACAGAAAGCGGGTATTGAAAAGTCCTGTTGCCGTCTAATTCTCCCACTGGGGAAGAGCAAGGAAACCTTTCTTTTAAACCAATCTTCTCCAGACTGAAGTCCTCCAGAAGTGTTAGGACTTCAACTTCCGAAATATGCTGTCAATAGAATCTAGTGGCCGTGTTGACTAGAATTTCTAGAAATTGAAGTCAACCATATTTAGAGAAGTTGAGACTGAGAAGATGTAGTCAGTGATAGTGCAGAAGGACAGGTTGTCCCATTACACCATCACAGAGAAGAATCATTGTTTCCAGTAGGTGTCTACCATATTAATCAAGAGCTGTGGTGACACAGTGGTTAGAATGCAGTATTGCAGGCTACTTCTGCTGACTGCCGGCTGCCAGCAGTTCGGCAGTTTGATTCTGACCGGCTCAAGGTTGACTCAGCCTTCCCTCCTTCCAAGATCAGGAAAAATGAGGACCCAGATTGTTGAGGGCAATTTGCTGATTCTGTAAACCGCTTAGAGAGGGCTGTAAAGCACTGTGAAGATATATATAAGTCTAAGTGCTATTGCTATTAATTATTCATTGTCTGAAAGAGATAGGAATAGTTTTTAGATGGGTCTTGACCTACATTTTGAGCATTCCCCTCCCCCCAGGAAAATACAGCCTTCCGCACTCTATGTTAAATTGTAGGTTTAAGGAAATTAAAGAGGCTAGACCGATAAGATCAACAGTGGAAAGAGGGAAGGATTTACAAACTCAAGAGTCTAGACCAGCAATAGTAACTAGATCTAAACATAGATAAGGAGGGGAAGAAATGTGTTGAATCTATATCTATCAACGTTAATGGCCTCAACTCTCCAACAAAAAGGAAGAAGTTTTTCAATAGGCTCAATAAGATGAATTTAGATATAATAATGTTACAAGAAGTCCACATTAAAAAACAACATCAATACTTATTAAATTGTCCCAAATTGGGGAATATGTTCGCAGCACTTTCGCAATATAAGAAAGGAGGTGTGGTAGTATATATTAAACAAGAAATTGTGGCTAAGCAAATTTATAAGGACGAAGATGGCAGAATTCTAATTGTGGAAGTAATTTTGAATAAAACCAAAATTCTTTTGGTTGGAATTTATGCCCCGAATGAGGGGCAAAAACATTTCTATAAAAAACTCTACAACATTATTAGCCAATTGGAACATGATAGCATTTGTATAATGGGTGACTATAATGCAATTGTGGATAATAATCTAGATTATAAATGTGGAAAGAATAGAAAAAGAATTAGAGGAACAATATCTGATATTTTCTTTAAAATGGTAGATGAGTTTAATATACAGGATATTTGGAGAGAAAGGAATCCTGGGAAAAAACAGTTTACTTTTTATTCTGGACGTCATCAATCTTGGTCCAGAATTGATATGGTGTGGATGTCAGCTGACTTAAATTTAGAAGTAGAGGAGATTATGATTGATACAAATACCTGGGCTGATCACAATCCGATTAGAATTAAATGGAAGGGGCAAAAAAACACGAGGAGATGGACTCTAAAAAGGGCAATCTTAAATCATAAAGAATTCAAATCAAAATTAGAAGAACAATTGGATCTGTTTTTTAAGTCAAACAAAAAGGAGGATACAAACTGCCAAAATTTATGGGATACAACCAAAGCCTACATGAGAGGCGTTGTAATTTCTTATATGGCTAGGCAACACAAAATCAAAACACAACGCCAAAGACAACTGGAAGAAGAACTACGTAAAGTTGAGGATAACCTGCAAAATGAACCACAAAGATGTGATTTGAAACAACAGATTGATTTAATTAAACATAAGATGGATATTATTACGAAGGAAGATCTAGGACAGCAGATAAAACGTACTAAACAAAATTTCTTTGAAAATGCTAATAAACCAGGGAGATGGTTGGCTTATAAAATCAAAAAACACAATAATAAGCAGAGAGTTACCAACCTTTATAACGCCAAAGGTGATATGGTGTGCCAGAACGAAGGAAAAAAGCTAGTGGCATATGAGTTTTACAAGAATTTATATAAGGACGACGAAAAGAGAAATAACCATGACATAGTACAGTATTTACAACTAGTCGATTTACCCAAGGTGCCAGAAGAATTTAAAACTCTCCTAAATAAAGAGATAACACATTTAGAGCTCTCGGTTGCAATTAAGAAACAGAAAAATAATAAAACACCTGGACCAGATGGTATACCTGCAGAAATGTATAAAATTGCACAAGAATCTTTAAGCCCAATGCTGTTGGACTTATTTAACGAGGTTTTAACCCAAGCTAAAATACCAGCTTCATGGGAAGAAGCCTTCCTCACGTTGATTCCTAAAGAAAACACCAACCTGACACAAATTAAGAACTATAGACCCATTTCTCTTTTGAATTCAGATTACAAAATCTTCATGGCAATAATGGCACAAAGATTGGAAAGGTTCTTAGTGGATTTTATACATATTGATCAAAACGGCTTTCTATCTAAAAGATATATAAGAAACAATATTAGGACTGTTTTGGACATATTGGAATATTATGAAGTACATAATGAAAAGCAAATGTGTTTAATTTTTCTTGATGCCCAAAAAGCATTCGACAATGTAAAATGGGATTTTATGTTTAATCAATTATTGTATATGGACTTTGGGGAAAATTTCTTAAATATGTTTAAATCAGTTTACTCTAAGCAGGTGGCCAAAGTAATAATCAATGGAGAACTGACTGAGAGTTTCCAAATGCAAAAAGGCACAAGGCAAGGCTGCCCACTATCACCATTGTTATTTATATTATCTCTCGAGGTATTAACTAGAGCAATCCGGCAAGATGAACAGATCCAAGGTCTAGAAATCAAGAAAGAGACATTTAAAATACAAGCCTTTGCAGATGATTTAGTTTTTATTATTGAAGAACCACTACAATCAGGGATTAGGCTGATGGAAACATTGAATAGATACGGAGAAATAGCAGGTTTAAAAATAAATAAAGAAAAAACTAAAATGCTTGTCAAAAATATGACTAAAATACAGAAAAGTGAATTGGTTGATAGAATTGGTGTTCAAATTACAAATAAAATTAGACATTTAGGGATACAACTGACTGCCAAATGCGCTACGCTTAAAAGGGATAACTATGATAAGTTAATAGAACAGATTCAAAAAGACTTTGATATTTGGACTAACCTACAGCTCTCTCTTACGGGCAGAATCGCGGTGATTAAAATGAATGTGTTGCCAAAAATTTTATTTTTGTTCCAATGTATACCTATAAAATTAGACAAGAAATTTTTTCAAAATTTGAACAAAATGATGTGTAAATTCATCTGGCAAGGAAAAAGAGCAAGGATTAAATTAAAATTACTACAGGACTCAAAGGAAAGGGGGGGATTTGGTCTTCCAGACTTGGAGAAATATTACCAG